ATTTAGGATTCTCGGATTAGGGCTGCTCAGTCTGTACAAGAAGACCAATATTCCTGATGAATATTGATGCAGTACTGTTGTGGATTAGAAGACTTAATATTGTGAAAATGTCCATACTGTCCAAAGCAATCTACAGAGTTAGTGCAATCTCTGTCAAAATCTGTATTGTGTTTTTTGCAGAAACAGATAAAACCACTGTAAAATTCATATGGAATCTCAAAGGAGCTCAAATAGCCAAAGCAGTCTTGAGAAAGAACAACAAAGCTGGAGGCCTCACACCTCCTGATTCCAAAGCATATTACAAAGCTATAATAATCAAAACAGTGTGGTGCTGGCATAAAAAGAGGCATATAGACCTATGGCACAGACTAGAGAGCCCAGAAATAAACCCACATATATATAGTCAAATGATCTTTGATGAGTGTACCAAGACTACAAAATGGAAAAAGGGTAGTTTCTTCAACAAATCCTGTTGGGCAAACTGGATATCCACATGCAAAAGAATGAAAGTGTACCATATACAAAATTTAATTAAAAAGGGATTAAAAATAAGAACTGAGTCTGTGAAAGTCATAGAAGAAAACAGGAAAAGCTTCATAATATTGGAATTAGCAATGGTTTCTTGAATATGACATCAGAAGCACAAGTAACAAAAGCAAAAACATGTACATCCAACTTAAAAAATTAAAAAAGTAAAAAACATACATCCAACTTAAAAATCTTCTATACAGCAAATAAGCAATCATCAGAGTGAAAACATAGCCTAAGGAATAGGAGACGATATTTGTAAACCATATATCAGACAAGGGGTTACTATTCAGAATATATAAAGAACTTGACAACTCAGTAACAAATAACTGAATAAAAAAATGGGCAGAACCTGAATAGACATTTCTCCAAAGAAGATACATACATGGCCAGCAGGCATGTAAAAAGATACTCTACTCTACATAATAATCATTATGCAAATCATAACCACAATGAGATATCATCTCAGACCTATTAAGATGGCCACTATCAAAGAAAAAACAGGAGATAACAAGTGTTGACAAGGATGTAGAAGAATTGGACCCCTTGCACACTGTTGGTAGGATTGTACAATACCACACACTCCTATGGAAAACATAGGAGGAAGTATGGAAGTTCTTCTTAAAACTGAAAATAGAACTGTCATATGATCCAGCAGTCCTACTACTGGGTATATATTCAAAGAGAATGAGATTAGGATGTTAAAGAGACATCTGTACTCCTGTGTTCAGTGCAGCATTATTCACAACAATCAATATATGGAAGCAACCGAAGTGTCCATCAGTGGATGAATGGATAAAGAAAATATTGTATATACATACAGTGGAATATCATCCAACCTTAGAACGAAGGAATTCCTGTCATGCTGCCTCATGGTTGAAGCTTTAGGACGTTTTGCTAAGTGAAACAAGCCAATCACAAAAAGATGAATACTTGTATAATTTCCGTAATATAAGGTCTCTAAAGGAATTAAACTCATAGAAACAGAAACTAGAATGGTATTTGTCAAGGAAACGAGGACTTACTGTTCTGTTAGTGTAGAATTTCTGTCACATGAGATGAAAATGTTCTGGTGATCTGTCGTACAAGAGTGTGCATATAGTTAAAATATTGTGCTATACACTTGAAAATTGTTGAGGTAAGTTTGTTAGTTTTTTTGCTACAGAAAACCTATAAAAGGTCTATAAGCAAAACAAAATGTTACCACTGGTTTCTCTGGAAGGAGAATACAGATTTTTAGTTTTTGCTTTTAGGTTTATTGTAAAATCATTTTGTATTAAAATACAGACAAACACCCCCTTTTTTTGGTTATCTTTATACTACTAAATCTTTTCCTAAAACTAGATTGTACCTTCCATTGTAGATCTTTGAGCCAGCTATTATCTTTGAAACCATAACCTGTTAAACCCCATCTTTTTTTTTTACTTGAAAATCTCATTCTTCTGTAGTGACCAAGAAAAAGAACTCTGTATCTAGTTTTGTCATCAGAACACTGAGCGCTGTATACCAATTCATCAATGAGTATTAACTATTAATCCACAAAGTCAGCCGGTACTCCAAAGCTGTATACTGGCTGTTGCTAAAGAAGCAGAGTTTATTTAAGTATGTGTTCCGCAGACTGAATTCAAATGACCAGAGAACTGATTTTGTATGGGCTTTAATACTGAACTTTTTGCTAAGTCAAGAATAGCTTTTAAGGAAGATTTTGAAAATATGAGCTTTATTTATGTATAAATACTAAGTCTCAAGGTGCTTTAATTGTTATGTGCTGAATAATAGAGCAGTGTAAAATATTATATTCTACTTAGTACTACCCTTGCATTTCTAATGAAGACTATTTCAGTGGGATATTTATCTCCCCAATTCCATGAAGCCATTCCAGTTTACCAACAACCCTATCCTGCTAAATCCAGTAGCAATTCTCAGTTTGTTCTACTCGACCTTTCAACAGCATTTGTCTGTCTGTCTATCTATCTATCTATCTATCTATCTATCTATCTATCTATCTATCTATCTATTTGAGGTAGGATCTTGCTCCGTCGCCCAGGCTGGAATGCAATGGCATGATCACAGCTCACTGAAGCCTCAGTCTACTGGGTTCAAGTGTTCCACCTCAACCTCCTGAGTAGCTGGGACTATAGGCACACACAACCATGTCCACTAAGTTTTGTATTTTTTGTAGAGAAGGGGTTTCTTTTTTTGTTTTTGTTTTTTGAGATGGAGTTTCGCTCTTGTTACCCAGGCTGGAGTGCAATGGCGCAATCTCGGCTCACCGCAACCTCCGCCTCCTGGGTTCAGGCAATTCTCCTGCCTCAGCCTCCTGAGTAGCTGGGATTACAGGCACGCGCCACCATGCCCAGCTAATTTTTTGTATTTCTAGTAGAGACGGGGTTTCACCATGTTGACCAGGATGGTCTCGATCTCTTGAGCTCGTGATCCACCCACCTCGGCCTCCCAAAGTGCTGGGATTACAGGCTTGAGCCACCGCGCCTGGCCCGAGAAGGGGTTTCTCCTCTCTTCCTTTCTTTCACATTCCATACAGTCAGTCAATCAAGTTTTGTTAGCTTTGCTTTCAGATTCTGTGATTAATATGACCACTTCTTATGACCTCCTCTACTACCACCCTAGATGTGCTGCAATAACTTTCTAACAGGTTTTCTTCTTCTACTTTTGCTCTCCTGTACTCACATATTAGCTAGAATAATCTTTAGCAAAAGTAAGTCAGATCATGTTACTCTCTTGTTGAAACCTTCCAATAACTTCCCAACACTCTGAAAATAAAATCCAAAGCTCTTGCTATAACCTACAAACCACTACTCATTCTGGCCCTTAGCTGTCTTACTTCTCTGCCCCTTCTTTGCCTTTTTTTTTTCTTTCTTGAGACAGGGTCTCACTCTGTCGCTCAGGCTGGAGTGCAGTGGCACAATCTCATCTTGGCTCACTGCAACCTCTACTTCCAGGTTCAAGCAATTCTCCTGCCTCAGTCTCCCAAGTAACTGGGATTACAGGCACGTGCCACTGCACCTGGTTAATTTTTGGTATTTTTAGTGGAGAAGAGGTTTCACCACATTAGCCAGCCTTGTCTTGAACTCCTGATCTCAGGTGATCTGCCTGCCTCAGCCTCCCAAAGTGCTGGGATTACAGACGTGAGCCACCACACCTGGCCTCTTAACCCCTTCTTACTCTGCTGATACCACACTTGTTTTCCTGTTACTTCTTGTCCATGCCAAACTTTTCCTGCCCCAGAGCTTTTACACATGTTCTTCCTTTTTCCTGGATTTCTCTTTTTCCTAATAATTTATGGGTCTCTCTGACTTAGTTTAAGCATCAGCTCAGGTCACTCCTCAGAGTGGCCTTCTCGCTTTACAACATGGTCTTCCCTTCTAAAATAGCCACACACCCCATCACACTCTGTATTTTCATCTCTGCTCCATTTTACTGTGTAACCTTATACATTATAGGATATTTTAAAATGTTTGTTGATTGATAGTCTTCACCAGTAAGCTTCATGAGGCCAGGAGCTTTGTTCATTACTGTGTTCCCCAATACCTAAGATGGTACTTGGCACATACTCAGTAAATATTTGTGGAATGAATGAATATTTATTTAGTGATATAAATAAGTAAATGACATTTATTTAGTGCCAAATAAAGTGCTACGGTATTTAGATAAAAAGACAGAAAGATACTAACTCTGCACTGAAGAAGAGAGGCATGTGCAAACAAGTAATATAAAGCAGTATGATAATTGCTTTAATGAACGTGTATGTATGTAAAGATGGGTGTCTAGTGGAAACTTATAGGAAGTACCTTAGAACATCAAGGAGAGTCAGTAATGAAGTTATAGAAAAGGTAACCTTTCACGTGAGACTTGAAGGATAAATAGGAGACTGTCAGGCAAACATCCAACTGAGAAAATAGTATGCTTCAAGCCACAGAAGTATGAGAGGTCAGCTTGGCATGTGTCTGTACTACCAGAGAAGTTGGAGTTGATGGAATATGAAGTCTGAAATTAGGAGGAGCTAGAGATGAGGCTGGGCAGATAGGAAGTTTTGAGGGTGGTAATGGAGCTAAATTATGTAGGACTGTATTTGTTATGCAAGATACTTTAAAGCTTGGGTATGAAAAGCCACTGAAGAATTTTGAACAGGGAAATGAACAGGAGAATCTGATTGGTATTTTAGAAAGTCACTGGAAACAGTGTAGAGGTAGATGAATAGGACTTGGTAATTGACTGAAATGCCGGGGATAGTGACTTCCTGGGTTTTGGCTTGAACAACTGGGTTGACAGTGATACTGTTCACCAAACTATGAAATTGGGGAGAGGAGAGCAGTGAATTTTTTTGAAAGGATGGCTAGAATTTAAAAGTATCTAATTATCTTAGTGCCCAGAAATCTTATAGTTTACTTGTATCACTTAATATAATTTTTAATATTACACTTAATTACAGACATACTAAATTTGCCTTTAAGGTACTTCTGTTCTTTACAAATGGACATATATACTGCCGAATGGAAGGACCATGGCATCTCTTAGTATTGCCAGTTTTTAAGTAGACCAGTGAGAATAAAGAATATTCTTGATAGTATAGTGAAACCAAGGAAGTATAAAGAAATGATTTGAAATCTGGATGGAGCCTTCCACAGTTTCAAACATACATAAAAAGCCTGCATTTTCAGGGAAAAAAGGAAAAGGTAAGTTGGGAAAAATGCTCCTAAATTTGTTGGGGCTGACTTTCACCTCTCAGATTGTTGTCGAATTGGTTTTGTTTTCTGATTTATGTAACATGAGTAGACTTTACTTCTTTGGATCTTTTAAAAAAATAATTATGAACTAAAGTGTTTGTTTGTATGCAGATAAGCTTATATGTACATTCATGCTTTAGTTGATTTACTGATTTAATGTGTTCCCATGCTGCTGAAGCCAACAAAACAGAAGGAGAAAAGCAGATTATATTTGTCCTTGTGGCATTTGGGATATGGCAAGATCTTAGACCAATGCTAACCCATTAGAATTATTTAACTGGACTGCGAATGTAAACCACATATGTAATTCTAAATTCTTTAGAAATCACTTTAAAAAATACAAAAATAAACAAATGAAGTTAATTTTTATGTTTTATTTATTGCAGTATATCCAAAATAGTATTTCAACATATAATCAGTATAAAAATAATAGACCTTTTGCATTTTTTTGTACCAAATGTTTTAAATCCAAGTGTATTTTATATGCACAGCACATCTCAGTTTAGACTAACTACACTTCAAGTGCTTGATAGCTACTTGTGACTAATTGGACAGTACAGTCCTAGATCATTCTTAAACTAAAAAGTAGAGGTTGCTCAGCATTCTGCAACATTTGAGAGTATCTTTCCAACATGGAGTAATTTATATGCTGCTTGTTTCATTTTCCTGTCAAGTATATTAAAGAGTTTCTTCTTTTGTCCTCTCATTTTCCTGCTTACAGAAATTTTATCCAATAAATATCTGCTTATCAATATTAATTGCCTTTGCTTTCTCTTACACATTTATAGTAATGTCCTATTACTATAATGCCAAACAAAAGCATATCTTTAAATTTTAGTGATTTTGTTTTAATTACAAGAATACTACATGTTCTTTTTGTAACAAATTTAAACAATACTGTAGCATATGTTGTATAAAAAGATAATAATTCTTTTTAACTTTTTCCTCTTTCAGTTCCTGCTCTCCCAGTTACAATCAGTGTTAGTGATTTAGGTAATAGGTTTTTTCCTTGTTAGGAATATATACTTAAGAGAAATTCCTAATTGAGAAAATTAATATTTGGAAAATGCCTCTTAAAAATAAAGCTATTAAAAATAGAGATAAAATGTATTTATTATTAATGAAAAGGGTTTGTTAGGGACAGCATTCAGAAATGAAAATATTTTACTATATGTATATTATTTTACTAAATGTTTATCAAAATTTAAGTTGTAGTTGCGGCTGTGCTAATTCTCAGAATTAACAAAGAATGACATGATAAATTCTTGGCATAATTTTTCCAGTAAAATTATATAATTGTCTGATAGCATCCTTCATTTTGTGTTTGATTTTTCTAGCATTTCTTATATAAACTAGCCTTGTACATCAGTTTTATCAAAACTCTGAGGGTTTCACCAGTTTCTCAAGATACTTTCTTAACCCTTTAACATTGTCTTTCTCAATTCTTATTCTTTCCTCATCCTTCTTAGTTGTTGAGTGAATTGTCCTATCGCCAGTTGTTTAGTGGTTTAATTCTGCCAGAATCAAAGGATTTTAAAACTGTGAGATGAGCACTTTCTTTAATATTATTTTCATAGACTTCATGAAATCCTGCATTCTTTTGAAGGTTTGTATTTTCACATTACCATTGAGTTGCATTGTATTTACCTTGTACGATTGGGTATTTACAGCATTAGGCTATGAGTGAGAAATTAATAAACAAAACCAGGATACCTGGTTACAATAGGTGTTGCTGTCTAGGAGAAACAGATACCAGCGGACATGAATACTAGTGTATCATACCTTGATTCCCTCTGCAGACTTGTAACTTAAGGGATTCAATGTCTGTTTAAGTAACAATAGCTAACTTTTATGGAGACTTTTTCTATGCCTGGCAAATTTCTGTACGTGCATCTTTTTAGGTTATCTGTTCAATGTGACTATAAGTCTATTATTATCCCCATTTTATGCTTTAAGCAAACTGAGGCTTAGAGTGGTAACCTTTGTGTTACAGAATTCCCACAGATAAAGCCCCACCAGAGTTGAGCTCACTACTCAAAATTTAAGGATGAGATAAAATGATGTCTGGGACTTACTTTAAAATAACTTAGATGTTCATAGGTAAAATGAATAAATGTTGGCCATTGTGTGAAGCTGGGTGATGAGTTTTGTAATACAAATAAAAACAGCAACAACAAAAACTTTGTAATATAGCCAATTAAGTCACTATCCCAAGAAGCTAATAAAAAACAAATAGAATAATCCTAAAGAAATTTGAAAGAAGGAGAAAATAAAGATAAGAGCAGAAATTAATGAAATAGAAAAATTGAGAACAGAGACAATCTGTAAAACTAAAATCCGGCGCATTGAAGAGTTATAAAATAGACTTCTGTTGGGACTGCTCAACACAAGAAGAAGAAAGTACAGATAAATAATATTAAGCACAAAAAGGGGGACATATAGCAGAGACAAAGCAACAACAAGAAAGTACTGTGAATAACTTTTATATCAATACATTTGAAAACCTAGGTCAAAGGCAGATTTTCTAGAAGAAAGAAAAACTGGAATAGATGTTTAACATTAAAGAAAATGAATCATTTTCAAACATCTTCACCAAAAAGTATGAGTCCTAGACAGTGCTACCAAGGAATTCTACCAATAGTAAGCCCACCCAGCCTTATTTTATAAATCTTTAACTTACATAATATGTCTTGCAGTAACCTTGGTAACCCAATCATGTAACTCCTACTACTGGGAGGGAAACTCATAGACCAGTTTCACTTGAATATACATGCAAAACCCTCAATATTGACAAGCCAAATGAACAATCAGGCATTTTCCTGACATGAAATATTTCATATTTTTCCACTGATTTGAAGTGCCACATTTATTATAAAATGAATTTCATATAGATGTGGGTCCATTTGCAGGGATATACTTGTATGCTTAATCTGCCATCTTGAATTAAAAGCCTGTCTGTTGAATCTTAACATTCAAGATATTTGCATTGGTATTTAAATGTTTGAGAATTATAATGGTCTGGCAGTGTATGCTTTATATAAATATCTTTCTGTTGCATAGTTTTTTGCAAATCATTTGAAGAGGATGCCAGGATTAGAACTAAATATACTGAATACCTCATTTGAGACATTTTATAATTCCAAAGAATATGTCATCATTCAAACAAATTTAAGTTGATACAACTTAAAGATATTATTCAGAAAATATATCTGAAATAAATATATTGTCTAAATGTTTTCCACAAAAATATTTTCCTTCTATACCTTCCCATGTGCCTTGCCGCCTTCCCTAAGGAACTGGAGATAACTTTATAAAGGGACAGAGAAACAAATATTACCAGACACCTGAGATGGATTAGTCACTGCATTTGAACACCAAACTTAATTCTGTGTTTTCTAGAAAAGAAAGAAGAATGGGACATATTATGCTATGTCTGGTAAAGAAACTATATGACTTTGAGAGATGTGCTTTTTTTTCTTTGTTTTATAAGTGAGATATTGGAAAGACAATAGTCGCCTTCAGCTTTGTTTTTGCAAAAGTTAGGAAATGTTTTTTGAATGGATATTTTCTATATTGACCAATGACTATGCAAGATGAGATTTATTTTTTAAGAGCTAGGGTCTCACTATATTGCGCAAGCTGAAGTGTTGTGGTTGTTTATCCACAGGCACAGTCATAGCACATTGCAGCCTTGAATTCCTGGCCTCAAGCTGTCCTGTTACCTCAGCCTTCCAAGTAGCTCAGAGTACAGGCACATGCACCTGGCTGAGATTTTAACATTATATCTTAATTTAGGGAATTTTAGCATCTGTAGTGAGCTAAGATAAATGGTTTACTTTTTCTTTCAGAAAAATTCCTGATTGGTAAATATGGAGGGGCTGCTCAAGTTGTAAAATCATTTGTTTGCAGCCATCACAGTAAAAATTGAATCAGATAAGAATAATCAGATTTAGCATTTAGGATGCTACCAATAGCAGGAGGTTTTGATGAGGAAGCAGAATACTTACATGCTTTTAAAGTGCTACACCGCTTATTATTTGCAAGGGAGAAAATACATAGTAATTATACAGTAGAGAAATTGGTCAATACTTGGACTGGATAATGAAAGTTAGGAGCATCACTGAAGGACAGGAGAAGATCATGTGCCTCAAGATGTGATGCACTGAGGATACATCACCACCATGAAGTGTTCTGGCTCAGTGTAACCTCAGTCTAATCTTGGGAACACATCAGACAGACCTTCTATGAGGAGCATTCTCTTAAAAAATGGGTGGGGAGGGGAGCTGTTCTCCCAAAATGTCAACATCATTAATGACAGCTTTCACTGTGAGGATGTTCTAGAATGTCAGAGGCTAAAGACACCTGGCAATTAAAGGCACTACCTGACCCTAACTGGATCCTGTATGGAAAGGGAGCTACTCTGTAAAGGACATTGCAGGATCACTTGACAAAATAGGAATACTTATGTTAAATGAGAGTATTATATCAGTGTTAAATATGCTGATACTGATAACTGTTTATAGGAATATATTATACTTTGAAGGATTTAGGGTAAAGGGCCATAATGTCTGTAATTTGCCCTCAAAAATGTTCAGGAAACCGTGCGTGTGTGTGTATGTTTGTGTAAAGAGAGGAAGAGGAGGAGGAATATGCGTGATTGCAAATGATAAAACAATTGAGATAAAATATTAACCATATATGAATATGGCTAAACAGTATAAGGGCACTATTTATATTATTTTTACTTTTATAACTTATCTATAGGTATGAAATTATTCTCAAATAAAATTTTAAGACAGTATATATACTTTAGCTATGGTGCATCCTGATGAACTAACAGAGAATTTGTTCTAGAAGAAGGAATAGTTAGCATGCCAATTAGGCAGCTTCTCTCAAATATCAGATGTCTCATGTGAGCCTTTGGTAAATACTGGATTAAACAATTCATGGTTGAATTACCACAATGAGTGCCTTAAGTGCCAATACTCAGTTGTGGATTGAAGCAGGATCCATATGTTTTAGATACCAAATATGGGACAAACAGCGTTGATGTTCTGTTGTGAAAATATAAAAGCTCAATTTATATCATGCTAGTTCAGTTTCTCATGAAGATGGATCAAAGAGGTACTTAAAGGAAGTTACCAGTATTTTCTCTCAGGGAGCCTTGGAAATTGTAGAAGCAATTGGACAGGTGCTCAGGTGTGATCCTAATGTTCAAAAGTATAATATAGAAAAAAATGATTTGGCCTAAAATACTTAAAAGGCATGTGTTAGTAATTGACTGACCTCCACTATGAAGGAATCTGAATTTTTATTCCCGTTAGAAAATGTGATTTTTGAATGGAAGTGCATGCTGATGGCCCTTCAAGGATAAATTAGCTGCAAAATGTACCCCAAATAATGGATTCTATCCAGTTAAGAAGGAAATTAGATGGATAAAAAGCACTTAGAACATTGTGGAAAAGTTAAAACTGTTAATAAAGAGGAAATATCAGCTGGGCACGGTGGCTCACATCTGTAATCCTAGCACTTTGGGAGGCCGAGTGGATGGATCACCTGCGGTCGGGAGTTTGAGACCAGCCTGACCAACATGGAGAAACCCCATCTCTACTAAAAATACAAAATTAGTTGGACGTGGTGGTGCATGCCTGTTATCCCAGCTACTCAGGAGGCTGAGGCAGGACAATCACTTGAACCCAGGAGGTGGAGGTTGTGGTTAGCTGAGATCCCGCCATTGCACTCCAGACTGGGCAAAAAGAGCAAAACTCCATCTCAAAAAGAAAAAAAGAGAGAGAAAATATCAAGTGCTATTAGTAAATTGCAGGGTGGGAAAATTTTAATCCAAGGCACATTTTTAAAAATTGTGTATGGCAGGCAGCCCCACTCTCAATGTGAAAAGCCTTCCATGCCTATAGTTGCAAAAGAAATTTCATAAAAATGCAACAAGGCTTTAAATTAAATTGGCAATGTAGTGTTCTCCTTTTTTCCACGGTTTTGCTTTCCATGGTTTTAGTTCCTGTGATCATCCATAGTATGAAAATATTATATACTATAAGATACTTTGAGAGACCACACTCACATAATGTTGTTATATAAAATATATATGTAAATTTGTTTTATGTAACAGTATTATATATTGTCATACTTGTTCTATTTGTTAATTATTGTTCATCTCTTTCTCTGCCTAATTTATAAATTAAAATTTATCATAGGTATGTATGTGTAGTAAAAGACGGTATATATGGAGTTTGGTACTATCCCTTGTCCAGGCATCCTTTGGGGATCTTGGTACATATCCCCTGCAGATAAGAGTGGGACTACGGTATCTTGACAGTCCACAAGATGGAGATGCTCCTCTTTTTTTGTGTCTGTGGCTTATGAAAGAGTGGGCATAGTGGTGGATTGGAGTGTCTGCTACTGGCCTGAGAGCTGACTGTCAAAATTTTTGGAATTCTCCAAACTGATGATTAAACACAGCTATTATTAAAAATTAAGGTACATAGGCTTACTATTAAAATTACAGTTTTACAAGCTAATAAATACTTCACACTCATCAGTTCCTAATTATTTTACTACATTTTATTATGATTTGTGCTTTTGAAGTTATTTATGTATATTGTGCCTCTGGTTTAAATACTATAATGGTGTGCTTTTTGTACACTTTTTACCAACTCTGGTGATGTCACAGTGATAACTAGAAATTAGCTATGGCAAGAATATTTACACTACAGAGATTGCCAAATGCCATAAATAGGGTTTGATTTATTATTTCTTGACTGTCTGGACTTAAAGTGATGGAGAAAATGCTGCTAATGAAATGTATTATGTCTTTAGCTATTGTAACAAAAAATAAGTATATGTTCTTCCATTATTAAAAAATTATTCAACTAAGAAGTCACTCACATCGTTGACATCAAAGACATAAAGAAAAACATCAAGTAATACTGTGAAGTACACTTGGAAAGCTGATTGCTGAATATTTGCCAGCACACTGCTGCTGGTCATAGCACGGTCAAAATCATTGCTTTGGTAGGAAATAGATAATATAAATTTATTACGCTGATTTTCCCCTTTAGGAAAAAGTATTATGACTATTATGTGAGCATTAAGAAGAAAGGTTGAATTTTAAAAGTCATTAACTTTGGCACATAATAATTTTAAAGTAGATAATTTGAAGCCTTTGATAGGTCTGTTGCAGATTAGAAATAGAATCATAGAATTTAGTTTCTCTAGTATATGTCAGTCATCCAGCCTTTATCTAAATTCTTCTAGAGACAGAGCACATTTCCTGATAATAACATTAGAGAACTCTAGAAGTAGAGTTCTTTCTTACATTTAGCTAAATTTTGCTTTCCTTTAATTTCTGACAACTGATTCTAGTACTGACTTCTAGAGAAACATAGAAACATAAGCAAGAAATTTTGTCTCTTACAGAGCAACCAGTCTTCCAGGTATAAAGGTAGCCATGGTTTTTCATTTAGAACTCTTTGGGCAAGAGTTATACCTTTAGTTCTTTTAGCTTTACATTGTGTGACATATTTTCTAGACTCTGTAATATAAGAGTGTGTTGCCTTTTTAAACATCACGTTGTGATTTTTGGGCTTTTATTGACCTTGTGAATGAAATAAAAGCCTTTAGATTTTTCTTTGTGCAAATTGTACAGAAGTCATGTCTTTCACCTTTTGTTTGATTCTTTAAAAAAAAAAAAATCCAGAACATCTTTGTATTTACTGTTTTATACTTTCATATTGCTTTCAGCACAGCATTTCAGATTATAGAAATGATTTTGAATTTTAATTTTATAATTTTTGGTATTCTATCAGTTTTGTGTCAGTTGCAGGTTTGATAAGCCCTCAATATTTATTGTTTACATCTAAATTATTGTATAAAATGTTGAATTTCAAAGGGCTATGTAATCCTCCTTTAAATAATCTCTAAATTCATCTCCACCCAATATTATTATTTTTTATTGTTTAATCTTTTGTGAGTTCATTTATCAGTTCTGCTAAGTAATCCCCATTTCATCATTTTATATCCAGAAGTTCATTATGATACATTTTGTCAGATATTTTACTAACTGTAATCAAGACATACTATGTCTCTGGTATCCCTTCCTATGAAACACACTTTAGTACCTCTGTCTTTGAAAATTAGGTATTTTTTGAAAAATCCTGGCATGACTAAATGTTAAGGTCATATTATTCCACAAATGGAAGATATAAAATACATGAAGAACGTTAGACTAGATATTAACTAAGATATAAAAAGAGAAAAGGAAGAAAATCATCCCTGGAGATATTTGATGATCAAGGCCACAGTGTTACTTGGACTGAAAGGAAAATAACCTGTGCCATGAAAATAGAGCTTTTTCACTGAGGAAGTATTCTGGACCAGGTGAAATGTTAGGGATCTGGAATAGAGTGGACAGGACTCGTTAGCCTTTTTTCCTCTCTGCTTTCTCATTATCTCCTTCTTTTGAAATGTATGTTGTGAAATATTAACAGTGGGTACATCTGCATGTATGTGGGTGTTTCTCTGTTGTGTATAGAACCTCCTTATTCTCTTTGCCCTGGACAAATGTATCCCTATTTCATTACATTATTTTGAAAATTAAAAGAATAACTTGGGCTGGGCATGGTGGCCCACTCCTGTAATCCGAGTACTTTGGGACGCTGAGACGAGCGGATCACCTGATGTTGGGAGTTTGAGACCAGCCCTACCAACATGGAGAAACCCCGTCTCTACTAAAAATACAAAATTAGCCAGGCGTGGTAGCACATGCCTGTAATCCCAGCTACTCATGAGGCTGAAGCAGGAGAATCACTTGAACCTGGGAGGTGGAAGTTGCGGTGAGCTAAGATCGTGCCATTGCACTCCAGCCTGGACAACAGGAGCAAAACTCTGTCTCTAAAAATAATAATAATAATAATAATAATAATAATAAATAAATAACTCAATATGAAATTCCCTAGCACATTTTCTTGTATTTAGTAGATAGTAGATAAAGGTTTGTTTAACTTTTGTTAAATTTCTTGTTAAATTCCATTGAGCAACCATGATGGAGGTTGTTAGGACGTTACTAGAGTGAATTGTCTTGTCACAATTTCCTTGGTCTTCTACCCTTCTTCATCCTATCTATATCTGTTTTATTACTGCTGGACACAAGGAAAATTCATAGCAAGTCACTTGACTAAATGGTATTAACAGAATAATACTTTTCTCTTTTTCACTACTTTCTCTTTTCTAAAAAATCTTAGATCAAAAGCAACGTCTTCTAGAAAGCATTCTCTGAAAAGTCATTTGATTTTTTAGACAGCATTCTAGTTACTCTTAAAATCATTTTATGTGTTGTATATATTTATGTTGGACAGTAAAAAATAAAATAAAATAAAAAACTGGGCACAGTGGCTCATGCCTGTAATCCCAGCACTTTGGGAGGCTGAGAAGGGTAGATTGCCTTCAGCTCAGTCTGGGCTTGAAACCAGCCTAGGCAACAGGGTGAAACTCTGTCTCTACCAGAAATACAAAAAAACTCAAAACAAAAAAACAGAGCCAGGCATGATGGCATGTGTCTGTGGTCCCAGCCACTCAGGAGGCAAAGGTGGAAGGATCGCTTGAGCCTTGGAGGGCAGAGGTTATAGTGAGCTGAGATGGTGCCACAGCACTCCAGCGTGGGTGACAGAGTGAGACTCTGTCTCAAAAACAAAAAAGGAAATCTTAAGGCTCGATACATTGTAATTAGTGTCTGATAATTAAATCTTTCTTCTCTTGCAGATTGTGGTGGTGCCATGCAGCAAGAAGCAGAGAGATGCAGAGTTCGAGCCAGAAGGCCTGACATGGCACTTTATGTACCAAAAGCTCGAAGGGGTGCAGTACTCCTTAAGACAGGTGATGAAGAAGAAAGCTGTGGTTCACCTAACTCTGTGGTGAAAGAAAAGCAAAAAGAAAGTTCTCTCTCTCGAAAAGAAGTCTTTAGAGACAAACCAGAGGCTCCAAGACTAAGTATCAGTCCTGACAGAAAGGATCATAACTGTAGAGAAGGAAAGAAATCTTCAGCAAAATTAAGAAAGGATACATGCCTTCAAAAAACAAATAGCATTTGTTCTAAGAGAGGAACCACTGAATCCAAAGAAGCATTATCCCAAGGACATCAGCAGGGAGCCCCACATGCTGGGGTTATACCTAATACATCTTTACAGAGACATTTTAAACCAAAGAAGGGGGAGTGTTTGGAAGTTGAAACTACAGATGTGACAGGGCATGGGAGTATACTTCCATCACGGGCCTGTTCAGAAATCAGTGAGGCTCAGTTTCCAAGCAAACCATTCCGAAATGTAGAATTCTGTGACTTTGTTAGGCATGAACCTGATGGGGAAACATTTGAAGACAAAGATTTGGAAAGCAGAATTGAAACCGATGCCAAGGTGTTGGAGATACTGTCTGAGTTTCCTAGAGTTTTTAGTTCTGTAATGAAACCTGAGAATATGATTGCACCAACTAAACTAAGCGCTGATTCTGGAATTGTACAACAAGGCATGCAAACATCAGATGGAATATTGAAGCCCAACAGTGGAGGCATCACCACTACTTCTGTTCCTGGAAGTCCAGATGGTGTCTTTGATCAAACTTGCATAGATTTTGAATCTGAGAATGTAGGTGGTATAGCCAGTAGTACAGGTTTCATCTTAGATCAGAAAGATACAGATTCCATTTCTGAAACTATGGGTCACATCTCTCATAAAATGATTACAGTCAGCAAATTAGAGAGCACAAATGACACTGTTAGTCCAGTAATGATTAGAGAATGTGAGAAGAATGACAGCACTGCTGATGAGTTACATGTGAAGCACAAACCTCCTGACACAGTTGTCCTTGCTCATGAAACACCTAGAGACAATGGATTTAAGAATATAGCTGACATTACCAATAAAGCATGTATGATGGACACTAGAGGTATGTCCTGTAGTGATCGTGTAACTGTTGACATCCCTTATGTAGTTGCAGTTAGAATAGCTGATGAGACCTCTAATAATAAACATAATTTCTCAAAGTTTATAGGAATGAGTGCAGATGCAACCCCTCTTCCTGTAGCTAGAAGTGGGAATGATACTGAAAATTTCAGCAACCTGACTGCTTGCTCAGATATTTATGCTGAGAGTATTTCATCGCGTTTTACAGAGTCACCAGGAAAGTTGATAGAGAGCTTGTCAGATTGTGATTCCTCCTTACCTATAAAAAAGATTGCTGGTAGTAATTGTAAGACTTTTTTGGACTCTGAACTCACTATGTTAAATGGGACAAAAGTACTTTCCGACAGTGCCATGGGCAGTGATCTGGGTAGTACTGGTGATACAACAGAAGCATTGCATGAAGTAAGAAGTGCTGAAGAGTTCAAAACAAAAGAGCAAGATGACTCAGAGGATATAGAATTTGGAATGTCTCCTCCTAATAGGGAATCATTATCTATGGAAACATCCATCGAACCAAAAGCAACGGAAACTTCTCACACAGAGGGAAGTACTGCCACTGAGGAGAGCTGGGAGTCTATGTTTAATGATGATGGTGACTGCCTGGATCCACGTCTTCTACAAGAGGTACGTTTAATTGAAATTGCTTGATGCTTAGACAATTTAAAGATCAGTGGTAATTTTGATAGACATTGATGCACATTCACTGATACTAAAGAGTATCCTGCAATAAACTAATAGGCTTGTAGATTGAGAAAAGAATATATGAGATCTTTAAAAAATAAAACATACACAATTGAGCTATATCTATAATAGCCAAGTCCTGAGAGATCTTATTGAATAAAGATGAATTTAATGAATTTTGGCTATCGATTGAGGAAATACAAAGGAAAACTTCTTCAAAAAGTTTTTTCTGTGTTGACAAGGTATCTTTTACATGGGCCTGTTTAAGGGAAGGAGAATAATTTATTACGATTGTTATTTATATTTCATTTTCTAGTGGATGTTGTAATGTTAGACATTATAGAGGAAAGGGAAGTAGAGAAAGGAAGGGTAAAATACAAGAAAGTATCATTGTTTTTTAAGGCGTCTATACTGGGTTAAATTGAAGAATAAATTACTATTTAGCATAAATAGAAAATATAAGTGAATGGTATGCTGGCCGGTTAGAATTCATAAATAAATGTTAGATTTGAGGCATATTAGAAATACTCAGTTCAATCTTCTTGTTTACTCTGTATCCAACATTTAAATTCCTTACCATAAATAAGAATCATTGGTTTTAAGTAGTAGAACCATTCCCTCTTTCACTCCCTATAGTGGGTTCACTTGAACTTTGCCTGGAAGGGAACAAAATTGTTTTCCTAGAAGAGCACCAGTTTTATAAATGAAGAAGTTGAAGCTTAGTGGTCACACCTTTAGGAAAGGCAAGATTTCAGTCTAGTTCTGTCTTAAGCCAATGTTCATGTTCTTTTTACAAGACCGTTTCCTCACCTAAAGGGTTTCTTTTGAGGCATTCCAAAGATCCTTTTGAATATTAAGTGATGAATCTTTTGTTTCTGAGAATTAAGCTAGAAGTATAGAAAAATTATCCCATGCCTGTGAAAGAGCCACATGAGACTGGAAAGGGCAGTCTATTGGACAGAACTGACTTTCCAATACACCAGGCAATCCCACCTCATTCTTGGGAAGTATTTGCGCAGACCGAATTTCCCTGTACCACGAACGAGCACATCCTACTGTCAGGTCAGGAAACACTATATCTTAAACGTTTCTTAGAACAGAATATAGAGCAGAGAATATCTTTGACTGAGCATCCATCATGAGCCCTTGACATCACATGCAAAGTTATGTATATATGTGCATTTTTTCATACCTTTCATCAGACTCTCAAAGGCAGTGATTTCCAAAGTATGGTCCCTAGACCAGCAGCATGAGTATCACCTGGGAACTTTTTAGAAATGCAAATTCTTTAGCCCAGCAAACTATTTACAACTTTGTCAGGTGATTCTGATGCATAGAAAGCATGAGAATCACTGCTTAAAGGTAATACACTTAAATCTATATCAGAATGTGAGTGGGGAACTACAGACCACTGTCAGCGACTATCAGCCCATAATTAGAAAAATACTGTTCAGTGGATGTTTGAGATCCAAGTCAGGTTAAGAAATGATAATGAGGTGGGGAGTTAGGTGAATATAGAGATGTTATTAAGAATTAAAGCATTGAGAGAAGGCTTTAGACTGAGAAAAGAAACAGTGTTCACATGAGTTGGTGAAAGGACTACATGAGGAACAGAAAGCATATGAACATGTAGGAGAGATGAGCAGCTTCCTCCGAGGGAAGAGCATGGCTCTCGTGGCCTTTTACACATGGCGTAGTACTCCAGTCAATATTTATACAGTGGATGGAGTTGATAGGGCAGAGTTGGGAGCTCTGTGTTTGTAGGGTGGCTCCAGGGGCTTTCAAACATCAGGGGCTTGAACTTGGATTTGGTGAGGTGGCTTGTGGATATGACTTGTGTATTGGAAGAGGGGGAGTTCCAGTGTACAACTCAGTTTTTCAGGTCTTTCCAGTGTTTAGAGTAGGTGTAAAAGAATTTAGGCAACAACTCAGTATGTTGAGGAGCGTGGTAACATAGTTAAAGAGGACGTTGGGATGACCTAAAGCTGGGATTGAGAGGAAAACAGAGAATATAGTATTTTAAGCTGAAGATAGACAGTCCCTGGATTATCCAAAATTACATTTGGATTATCTTTGGAGGAACTTGGTACTTGGAAGAAACTAGGGTCTGTTTTGAGGAATGAGCATATATGAGAGCAGGAAGGAGGGAAATGGATTGAGAATGCAAGAAGCAGATCCAACTCCAAAACTATGGGCGCTTCTGCTTTGGGTTTTAGAAAATGTAATAATGATGTTATTAAAAGATGTCACAAATCCAGTAACATTCATAGCCCTTTGATGACTTTTGGTGTATTGTTTGTATTGCTCCAAACATACTTTATTAAAGTGCTAAACCACCTGCCTACTTTGAAAACTTTCCAAGCGAAGGTTTTTGGCTATTTTCCCAGCTGGCCTGTTTCTTGATCGATAATGGCTAGACATATGGTGGTATGTCTAATACTTCTAATAGTCAGGTATGCCATAGAGCAAGGTGTGACAGCCATTGGCTTGTGAAGCAATTTCCTGTGACATTTGAACCTCCGAAACTGCCTCAGGGGGTTAGAGTATAAGTAGGTCTTCATTGAGCTCCCAGAACTGCATCTCTTGATGAGTCTCAGAAAACCACACTTAGTGTCCTAATGCCACGGTATGGAATGCCCAGAAACTTAAGTTGGTAATTGATAAAGGAGACGATGTGGGCATGACTTTTTTTAGTCCTCTGAATTCTTGGTAGAAGAACACAAGAGTTATTGTTCACTAGAAAAAACTTTCATAGCCACTACTGCCATCTGTACTGATCAGCAAATCTGTTGGTAGGAGGATTAGTGGGATGCCAGCAATATAACACTCATGTTGATAGATACCAGCATGTGTCACCTTCATTGTCATTTCTGGCCCTGATTTGAATTTTTAGATAGGGGCAAATATTTAGGAATTTCCTATCTTTTAATAATTTGAGTCCTTTCTTTGGTTACAAAAGACCGCTAATATTATACAACCATATTCTAGAATACTATGTAGACCATAATGGGAAGAGAAGAGTAATAGGAACACCATCTTTTCCCACTCAGTTTCCTTCTCTGTGTGTGCTAACTTATATTTTTATACTCTGTCTCCCTATAGTCTTTTGTAAAATTGCTGTCCATGTTAAGTGGAAAACCCAAAATTGAAAGAAAAAATTTATAATACAGTCACTAATAGGAAATTATATGACATACAAAGAGAGGAAAGCCCTTCATATCCCAACCCCTAGAGGCCTCATAAATAGTTGGTAGCCCATCACCTTTCAGTTAGCTAGCAAATATTGAACACATAGAGTTTGATAAACTGTAAACCCCAAATACCTAGATATATGTTGTTATCACTGCTGTGTTAAAGGCACTGTGCTACATGCCTTCCTTTGCTCTGAAGTTGTTTGTGTTTTATTTGGAGAGAGTACGTAACTACGTGACTAGTCACACAGCAATCTGCAGGGTAATTAGTATAAAACAACCTTATAACAGATGTTTTAAAACTGTATTCCATTACCTCATAAGTGATACAGGTAATGTAAACAATAACTGCAGGTAGGATGGGGAAAAAAGAACAAAAGGGGATTAGATCCCCCCATGCTAGACTGGTTGATGCAGTTTCATGTGGGCAAATAGAGTTAAACAAGAGATTATAGTTCCCACTTTTACTATATTGTTCTGCGTTCCTAAATTCTGTTTTCCATTCTGTTTTTTAAAAATGTATAGACTTTATTTTTGAATAGTTTTAGATTTATTTAAAAAAATTGAACAGAGTATGGAATCCGTATGTACCCCCTTACCTGTCTAGTTTTAATTTTTTTCCACAGTATCTTTTATTAGTTCTAGCTCATTTTAACAGATTTATAATTCATATTTTTATAAAAATGTCTGAATTGACATGTTATTGACTGCCTAAGTGGGGATTTATAGACTCACTTTCCAGATGCTGTATGTTCTAATGCAGTCAGTTGGGACATCCAGTGAAGAATCTGAGTGAATTATGTACTCTGTTTTTATTGTTCAGTCCATTAGTGAATGATGACTAGCTCTCTGGTCCAAACAGTAAAAGAGAAAATTAAGTAGATTCCATTGCTCATAGGTTGTTTTGTTTTTGTAACCAGGTGACTCCTAAAATAAAAAATCTCCCTTCTGAGCTATGTTATATTTGTTACATAACATTTTTTCTTCAGAATCAGCATACAAGCCAGTAGCATTTTAATTTCTGATCCCCTTTCAAAACTAAAGAAAGGTGAACAGTTCTGGGCCTGTATTGTCAGTACAAGGAAGCTTTTATTTAAGGATTCTTGTCTGAAGATTTAGAGATTCCTAGTATACCTTGCTGTGTCCTTCACAGTGCTTTTTTCAGTGAACTCCATGAGATATGGCATGTGGAGTATGGTTGGGGCATTTTTTAATTTATCAGGGTTTATAGTAAATCATAAAATCTTAAATTGATTTTCTTCAATAGAAAATGAGTTAACAAGCAGTTAAGTGAAAGAGAAAAACAGTAATAAAGGGCTTGAATAACCTCACCTACATAATTGAGAATTGACTATATGGGTTAATTCTATGTAAATAGATTTTTGAAGCAACTATAGTAATTTTACACCACCAACTTGTGCTCAAATCTTGTTGTCCTTGTCCCGGTAACCCCCAGTGCCTCTCATTTAAATTTTTTATACCCATAACTGTAAAGTGATTTATTATGTTTAATTGTGTTTAATTAAAAATACCCACAAAAATGTTCTTATTCCTGTCTTCCGAGTTGTGCCAGAATTTATATTATAGTCCTTGACATGTAGGGACTCAGAACTAGAGCTTTATCCTGTCCTAGAGATAGAACTGCACAAGTCATTTTTAAAAAGTGGAATGTTAGCATTTAAAATCATTTCTGAAAGTAAGTCTCATTAGTTTCACAAGACTGTCAACTCCTTAAACATTGATTCAGCAGTC